CCTGGCTTTTTTTTTTTTTTTTTTTTTAGCATAATATTCTTTAGTATGCACAATTGCATGTTGTATGTATATTACAATCTTCTTACTCCCTATACCTTTTTCTCCTCATGATATAATTTATGTACCATAAAATTCACCTTTTAAAAATACACAATTTGGTGGTTTTTAGTATATTCACAGGGTTGTACAACCATCACCGCTATATAATTTTAGAACATTTTCATCACCCTGAAAAACTCTGTACCCATTGGCAATGATTCCCATCTTCCTTTCTGCCTCCTTCCCCCCATCCCCTAATCCCCGGCAACTACTATATTTTCTGTCTCCATGGATATGCCTATTCTAGACATATGTAAGTGAAATCATGTATTCATACTTTTTAAATCCTCTCTTTTTCACTTTTTTTTTTTTTTTTTTCTGAGACGGAGTCTCACTCTGTTACTCAGGCTGGAGTGCAGTAGCCCAATCTTGGCTCACTGCAACCTCCTCCTCCCCGATTCAAGCAATTCTCCTGTCTCAGCCTCCCAAGTAGCTGGGATTACAGGTGCACACCACCACGCCTGGCTAATTTTTGTATTTTTAGTAGCGACGGGGTTTTGCCATGTTGGCCAGGCTGATCTTGAACCCTTACCTCAGGTGATTCACCTGTCTCGGCCTCCCAAAGTGCTGGGATTATAGGCGTGAGCCACTGTGCCCAGACTTTTTTAAACTTTTTCCACTGAACATTTCTCCACTGCTTTACATTCTTAAATGTAATTTTTAAGATCTGGCTGTATTAATACATCATCATTTAGCTAGCCAATACCCTAATAAAGGCCATTTGGCAGATTCCCATTTTTCTTTTCTTATTTCTCCAAGAAACATTCCATTTTAAGCCACTTTAACTGTGAGCACATTCTTTTTTTTTTTTTTTTTTTTTTTTTGAGACGGAGTCTCGCTCTGTCGCCCAGGCTGGAGTGCAGTGGCCAGATCTCAGCTCACTGCAAGCTCCGCCTCCCGGGTTCCCGCCATTCTCCTGCCTCAGCCTCCCGAGTAGCTGGGACTACAGGCGCCCGCCACCACGCCCGGCTTAGTTTTTTGTATTTTTTAGTAGAGACGGGGTTTCACCGTGTTAGCCAGGATGGTCTCGATCTCCTGACCTTGTGATCCGCCCGTCTCGGCCTCCCAAAGTGCTGGTATTACAGGCTTGAGCCACCGCGCCCGGCCGAGCACATTCTTACTAGGCTGGAATCTGCTTCCTTTTAACCCCACCCGTTGGTGCTACTGCAGCTTGGTGGAGCTAACGCTGGACATCTAATCCTGTTTCCAACCTTGGTCTTCCTCACTGTCATGGACCCCTCCTGACTTCTTTGTCAGGCTTAATATTTTGCTCTTTCTTTTTTATTTTTATTAAATTAAATTAATTAATTAATTAATTTATGACAGAGTCTCACTCTGTTGCCCAGGCTGGAGTGCAGTGGCACAGTCTCCACTCACTGCAACCTCTGCCTCCCGGGTTCAAGCGATTCTTATGCCTCAGCCTCCTGAGTAGCTGGGATTACAAGCGCCTGCCACCTCGCCTGGCTAATTTTTTGTATTTTTAGTAGAGACGAGGTTTCACTATGTTGGCCAGGCTGGTCTTGAACTCCTGACCTCAGGTAATCCACCGCCTCGGCCTTCCAAAGTTCTGGGATTACAGGCGTGACCCACCGTGCCTGGCCGGTTGTGTTTTTGTTAAGTGCACTGGTTTTGAGTTGGTTGCTCCTTGTTTTTTAAAACCACTCTTTGAGAGAAATCAAGGAAATGTAGTGAAATTTACCCAGGCTGTGTATTCAAACATCTGTGTTCAAATCCTGGATTACTGGCATGTGCCACCACACCCAGCTAATTTTTGTATTTTTAGTAGAGACGGGGTTTTGCCACGTTGGCCAGCCTGGTCTCGAACTCCTGGCCTCAAGTGATCTGCCTGCCTCTG